CCCCAAAACCCCAAAACCCCAAAACCCCATGGCGCATGTTTGATGAAATATTTTTGATTGTTTGAAATAAATTTAAATTACAAATTAATTATAAAAAACTTAAATATCACATCTTGCTTGCAAAAAAATGGAATCAATAATAGGCTCAGACTACGATATACCATCTAGAGATATAAATCAATTCACAAATCCGCATCGTCAATGCATTGACTAAATATCATACTTGTAGTAAATTCAAAGGAAAGTGCAAGCTGAATTGGTAATATTTATTATACATTAACATATAATTTTAGGATCTTGTGCCAATGCCTGAATATAACTATAACAGAGTTAAGCATGGAGATGAAGATGACTCATATAATCATGTTAAAACTATAAAGACAGCGAAATCTATGCTTGAAGAAGACATATTTGTAAGTGTTTCTATATAAAAATATGTTGATTACTAGGTTGATCCTGAAGAGGAAAGAGAAAAGTACTTGAGAATGTTTCTACCAGATTATTAGTCTTCAGATAATGATTAAATTATTCATAGTCAGCATCATACTAATCTACATCAGAATTAAAATGTAAATCAATCTCGATTTAAGTCCAATTTAGTTAAATAACTAGTATGTACCAAACGCTGGATATGGTTACGGATCTGCTGCTAATATTTTATCATCTGATAATACATTCAGAAGAGCCAGTGATACAGAAAGCCTAGATCACATGAGAAGTGACAGTTCATCTATCAATCAGAGAGAAGAAATGCCTCACAACATTAATTCTCACTCTTCAATGAGGGAAGTAGATTTCTAACTTACTTAAACACAAGGATCAAGACTCCCGAGAAATCTGAACAATCAAGATTAGACTCTCCAAGGCAGAAAGAAATCAGTCTCTTTCAAGTAAAATCCAGGGGATGGATTTATTTCAGGATAAGGTGTAATAACCCGAGATGACATACCCACAATTGCCAATGGAATTATTTAAGAAAAATTGCATTCAATTAAGGACTAACTTCAAGATATATATCACAAAAACTAACGAGTCTAGTAAGATATAGAAGAAGGGTACAGCTGCGACAACATAAAGATTATGGAATTGGTATTAGAGAACATCTTACTACATTGGGATGACATCATGAATCTGCTTATTGACGACATTATTGAGGAAGAAGTTGTAGAGCTTAATAAAATAGAGGATTTGAAGAGTGGCAGAACTGAAAGAAGAAACAAAAGGAGAAATAAAGACAATGGAGTTTATGAGTATTATCAAACTCAGGAAGATACAAGATATCTACCTGAAGATATACAGTTTGAAAAGAGAGATTACAGTCAGGTAGATCTGCAGGATATTTTCAAGGTATTTGATGATTATAAGCAGATTGAGACTTCAATCCAAAGGAGGTTATGAATACGATCTTAAATCTAGATTAAAAGTTATAATGATTAGAAGTTGATAAATAGTAATGCAATTAAGTTCTTAACAATTAGAACTACTTCATTATTTCCTCTAAGTTCTAATTCCACAGGACACACATCTCAAAACTTTTTCATAAATTGATTGCCAGTCAATAATTCATTCTATATTAACTTTTCCTGTTCCTTAATTTTCATCTATTACTGCCAAGCCTTTTTATAGAGCTATTTCTGCTGCTTTTCCTTGCTAACCTAATCTTTTCTCTCCATCATTAATACTTGTGAAGCAGATGCCAAGTTCTAAAGTTCTTCAAATCTCTCCTAAACCTTCCTCCCCTAGTTCCTCTTAGATTTCTCCTCCATCTACTTTTTGAGTGCGCTTTCAACTATATTCTAAGACTTCTTTTCCTTTTCTATTTGAGAGAGGTATTTATCTTCAGTCTCTTCCGGCCCCATATTAGTTCTTACCTTTTCCTTCAAGCGCTGAATCTCTTGCTTGTCTCTTTGTGCTTTTTCTTCAATTTATAACTCCAAAAGTCTTTTATTCTCTTCAATTTACTTTTCTTTTCTGATTAGCATAGCCTTCATTTGACTTTGCTCTTTCTAGACTTGAGTCTTAATCTCATCTAGTTCCTTTTGCTTAGTCTTTTCCTAACTCATCAAATCCTTTTCATATTTCTCTAGTGCAACCTCCATTGCATTTTTAACATGGGAATCGTCAGTTCTTCTATGTGGATAGTGCTTATTAGGCCTGAGGAATTGTGGATACTATGTCAAGTAATCAGTGGACACCTTTCCGTTCATTGAATTGTTGAACTAAGAGTCATGTTTATCCTAAGAGAGCCAGGATCTATTATGACTCTTGGCTGAACTCTTGCCAGCATTAATATTTTAACTTGAGGTTTTATTCAGATATGTTTAAAGTTCCTCCTTTTGTTCTTCTCTTTCTAACAGTCTTCTGTTTTCAATCTATTCTCCATGAGTGAAGGGAAAAAAGTCGATCTTAAACTCCTAAAAGCCCCGTTTTTCTTCTCTTTCTCGATCTAGCTTTTCCTGCCTTCTCTGTGTGTTTTCCTTTACAAAGTCGCCTCTCATCTTTATCAATAACTCATACTTTTACTTTCGATCGCGAACCAATTGCTCCTTGAGGTCTCTTATCAACTGATTGTCTGCTTCTCTGTTACTATGATGGCTTTGGTCCCTTTAAGTTACCTTGTGACTCATCTGATTCAATTACTCATTCAGAGTCTCTTTATAGGTTGGTAACCCGTCAAAGCATACCTTTTTTCCAAATCTAGTGTAAACCCCATTCTAAAATAAACCTGGAAAGCCTGGGACAGATATACCGTTTTACCTATTGATTTCCTGGATTTGCGAATAGCTCAGCTTGTTGTATTTCGTTTAGCCTTTTTATGGATTCGGATTAGACATGTTCATGTAAGTTTAATCTCCTTAAACTGAACTGTAATGCGAAGATCCCTACATTATAATATAAAATGTTGTAACTTTTTTTACAGGCTTCTGAGTTTGAGTATCTGCTGAAAAATTATGAGTAGATGCTCTTTGAGTTTGATTTAATCTACCATTTTTCTAAAAATAGTTGTTGACCTATAGACTATATTTATTAATTAATTTACAATCTATCTCCTCGATGACTGAACGAAGCTCACTGCACTTGACATACTTAGCTAATCTGACTTTTTTCTGCTATGAAACATACTCTGCTTTCTTAAATTTCTAGATATAGAGATTATGACTATCAGATATTTCTTACTCAAACATTAGTTAAGAATTTCTGATCTTTAAAAATCCCATTCTAAGATGAATTTTTACTGCCTTTTCCATTTTCATAGCTTATTCCTATAAAGGCTGTTACAACATTGAGATATTATTACTATAGCTTGATATATAGATTTTAGTATGAACTAGACCTGAGACTCATTTAGTTCGCAAACTATTCCAATAGAATTATAACTTATCCTGACTGTCTGTTGCTTGCCCTGTTATAAATATTTAAATGCGATTGAACTTACCATATTAAAGTACGGATTAAGATTGATTTTATGCTAGTCCTCTTCGTACTGTAATTTAAGGTTTTCAATGAACTCAGAGTTAGGTACAAAGCTGATCTGATTTTTGTCTTCATCAAAAGATAGTATTTACTGATACTCATCTTCTGGAGTACTCGCCTTGTTATTGGCATTATCACTTTTCATAATGCTGTTTAGCTAGCTTTGAGGTATGAAGGTTCCCAGGATCGGACAAATAACTATACGCTTTTTATCTTGAGCCTGGTTTTTAAGGTACTTTGTGTAGCCACTCCAAACTTTATAATATAGTTTTATAGTTTCAAGTTTCAAAGCATTCCTGCCTTGCCCTGGATTATCCATACTTGAATTGTGGTGATTACTATTCTCTAATTTATTGACTTTATTGAGAATAAAGGACAGATGATGCTGATAATCTTGTGGTGTTAACTGCCTAACTGCTAACTTAAATAAGTCTACTTCGTGAATTGAACCCTGAGCTCCGATTCTGCCCATATTGCTTTAGTTATGATTACCTCCTTAAGTATATAGTCTCTTTGGAGAATGCTTAATTTATTGAGTATCTTCTAAGGCTATTTAAGAGTTTCTCATTGAATTCATATTCTAAAATCCTACTTATTGGTGATGAAGATGAAATTATGACATTTCGGAAATTTATAAATTTTAACTTTTTATATTCGTTTAATTCTTTTTTAACTTAATTTTTTAACTCTAAATCTAATTTTTTGATTTATCTCCTTGGGGTTTTGGGGTTTTGGGGTTTTGGGG